CTTGGTCATGACACCGGAATGATCTCGGCTAGGCCGAGGTTATCTATGAAGAAACCGGAATCCGGGATAAGCGGATAAGGGACAAGAGTCCTAGAGTAGGAGAGGACTTCAATTTAGATAAAGATAAGACTCTTAGAGAGTTTATCTCAATCCTACGGGAGTCCAAGATTAGCAGTAATCCTAAGTCCATTAAGCTAGGCTTCTATTGGGATTAGGTAAATGTTGGCTATAAAAGAGAGGCACCCATGGGTCTAAGGTATGCTTTTTATGCTCTGAATAGTGAGTAAGCACTTTTGCTATCTTTGAAAGATAATGACTTGATGTCGAGAGTGCCCCGGGTGGACGAACCACCCCGGAATCTCTTCTTTTTGTGACAGATCATTCGTTAATTAATCTATTATGTCAGTGTTCTCCAGCTGAGTGCTTGATTGACAGTGTGGTTGAAAATTGACACACACAAGTATCATTGTAATTGAAACTAATTTTTGCTATGATAAAAATAATATTCTATTGCCAACCCACAACAACAAAAATAAAAGACTTAATTATTCAATTTTCTTATTTAAAAAAAAAAATTGATATCAAACTTAAAGAAGTAAAATTAAATATTACATAAAAACATATAAACTATGTAAACTCATTACCAAAATATCAGAAAGATAAAATTTTAAACAAAGAATATAGTGGATACTCAATGACCAAGTTAAATTATTCTGAAATTCTGAAATAGGAAAGAGAGAACGAAATACAACAAATAATTTTTCGTACACATTTTTTGTTTTTTTTTTTTGCTGTTGTAATTTTAGTACATAATATTCAATATTGATGCAATAAAAAGAAATTCAAAAAACTCTCTAGTCATCAGTTTGGTAAAATTAAAATTTAGACAAAAAATGTATATGTGTGGAGCATTTCAGTCAGTTTATAACAATATAAAATTATATATAGACAGAGGGAAATGCAATATGTGAAACTTTTTGCTATACCTATAACAATATAAAATTATATATAGAGAGAAAGAGAAAGGAGAAAAAGAAAGAGCAACATAATAATTTTTATATGTGTTTATAATCAATTGAAATATAACTATTTATATGGGAGAGAGATGTGAAATTAGATAGATAAATATAAATTATCTTTAGTATATATCAAATTCAAATTTAAATTATCCTTATTTGAATTTTGTTGATAGATATAGATTATCTTATATAGATTTTCAATTCAAATTTTTTGAATTTTGTGATAGCTTTCTCTCTCTCTTCTTCTTTTTTTTTTTTTTTTTTTTTTTTTTTTTTCCTTGTTGATGAGTTTATATTTGGATAACTATTATTCTAAGAGCATATATTATTAAATTATTAAAAAAAATAATTTTTATTTTAAATGGAAGTGTTGGGAGAGGAGTGAGTTTGAAACTTAAGTGTTACATAATTTTTTAAAATTTTAATAGATTTTATAAGAATCTAAGAATAGAGATTTGAGGCCTAAGAGTACACCCACTACGTTACTTATATTGTAGTATAGATCTTCAAGCACAAAAAAAAAAAAGATTGAAAGAATGTGGTGTAAAAGAATGAGAAATAGTATTGTTGAAAATAAAAATGTAACAGTAAGAAAAAATTAAATATTAACCTTTAACAACCTTAGAAAAAAATAATAAAAATGGTGTGATGTTATCTTGCATATATAATCTCTTTAGGGATAAGCAAGTTACACATGACACTTAAAAAAAAATATATCCCTCCGTCAAAATATTAGCCTTATTCTATTTTTTATTGTAAATATTGTCTTAATAGTAAAAAAATGTTAAATTTCATATTTTGCATTTTTTAATTAATAACATATGTACAATATACATTATACAAAAATTATATTAAAGTATTTGAAAATAATAAAGAAATTTGTACTACCAAAAAACTGATTCTCCAAAAAGGACCCATTATTTTGGACGGATGTACTTGTTTGGTTCGTTTTTCTGAAACAGTTTTCAAAAATTTTACTTTCTTATTTTTGTGTTTTTTGTTTTAATGAATTTTTATATTTAAGCAATTTTTTTAATTTTAGATATACCTAACATAAATATACCTAAAAAGTAAAAAAATTGTGAAAAATTTTTATAAAAATTCACTAAATACCAAAAAAAAAAAAAATACAAGAATTCAAAACATTTTTTATAATTTTTTTGTATTTAATAATTTTTTAAAATATTTTTTCACAATTTTTTTACTTTTTAGATATATCTAAGTAAGGTGCATCTAAAAAACTAAAAAAAATTTTAAAATTTTAAAAAATATTCACTAAAAACAAAAAATATGAAAAAAAAAAAACTCATTTTCAAAAACTTAATTAAGAAAACTCAAACAAACACACTGATTGAAACTGTGTAAGGTACGTAGGGTTTTTTACAGAGAGATGGTTTGGGGAAAGAATAAAAAGAGTAGGAAGAAATGTTTTAATTTTTGAAAATTGGTCGAGAAAGATTATGATTGGGGAGATTATAAAATATTTTCTTATCTTTCCATTTGAGATCCATAAATTAAAAAATAATTATTATTTCTAAAATAATTAATAATAAATTAAATAAATTAGTCAATAATTTTATAAATTGAAAATTCATAATTTTAGAATAAGAGTTTGGAACTCTTGAAGGTTTCTCACTAAAAAAATCATTTTCCTTATATAATATACTAGTGTATGAACCCTGCCAGCACGAATAAATAAATAATTAAAAATAATTTTAAAATTAAATAATAACATAAAATTTATTTAAAAAGTATAGAAAAATAATTTATAAAAAAATAAATTTTAACCATTTTATTAGAATATATATTACAATTGTCATAATTTAATTGGTAAAGATGAAAAAAATAGAATAAATTAAAAAAAATATATTTATGATAAAATAAAAATAAATTTCATTTTATAAATTTTTTTGTTTTAGTTTTAGTTTATTCTATGTTAAAATTTGTTATAAATCTTAAACATACCTTTTAGAAATAAAACAATATATATTGATAAAGGGTAAGCAAAAACTATTTCAATGAGATTCTTGAGAAATTGAAATCTAGACTCTTAGGTTGGAAAGCTAAAAATCTCATCCTGGTGAGTAGAATTACACTCATTCAATCAGTTATATCTGCTACCCCCAGCTATAACATGCAAACCATGGAACTCCCTAAGAAAGTTTGTGATGAAATAGACAAAATTAATAGAAATTTCCTACGGGGTGATACTGAGAATAGAAGGAAAGTCCATTTAATCAACTGGGACAGTGTCTACAAGAGCAAAGAAGATGATGGTCTTGGCATTAGAAAAGCTAGGGACCAAAATTCAACCCTCCTCACCAGGCTTGGGTGGAACATCCTGATTGACAAATTCTTCAATCCACGTATTTGAAAAACGGTTCCTTTTTCAACTGGCCCCAAAAGAAGCCTTCCTCCCATATCTGGAAGAGTATTTGTAAAAATAGAGATATTCTTAAGAAATGTGTCAAATGGAGAATAGGTAATGGTGATTCTATTTCTTTTTGGAATGATTGGTGGTGTGAGAAGCAGCCACTGGCCAAAGCTTATAACACCACACATGTTAATGATTTAGACAAGGTTAGTTCTGTTCTTGATAATGAGAGGAACTGGGACACTGCTATTCTTGCCAACCTTGTGAACCAACAAGACCTCCAAGAGATTCTAAAGATTTGTAGGCCCAGATTTGTGACTTACACTGATGCCCCCTCTTGGATTGGGTCCACTAGTGGTAATTTCTCCACAGCATCTGCATATAAAATCATCACTAATCAAGAGGGGGATGGCAGTGAATGGAAATGGATCTGGAAAGTTCAAATTCCCCAGAAATTTTCCTCTAGCTTATTCTGAGAGGAAGATTGCTTACCAACCAACTGCGACTTGTGAGGAACATGACATCTTCTGATCTATGTCCTAGATGTGGGCTGTTCAGTAAGGATATGAGTCATCTCCTCAGGGATTGTGCTAAATCCAAGGAAGTCTGGGCTGAAATGATGAACCACAACTAGTGGGAGCAAGGATGTGGACAACCTTTGTTTGAATGGGTTTCCTTTAATATGAAAAACAAAATGTTATTTTGTGGATTTAAATGGTACCTCATATTTATTGTAACTCTTTGGCAAAAGGATCGCAATACTTAGGTTTTTGAAAACTTATCGAACCCCATTCAAACTAGTCACAAGAACATACGGAATTATGTTCAAGAGATTGACCAGGCTTTTCAATCCCCTCCACCCCAACCCATCCCAACCTAGACTAATTAACTGGTGTTTCCCACCTACAGGTAGACTCAAGCTTACTATGGATGGATGTCCTAAAGGTGACCCAGGTCAGGGTGTATATGGAGGACTACTGCACGATGAAGTTGGCACTTCGTTATGGGGATACTATGACAAGCTAGGACATTGCTCAAGCTTGGAAGCTGAACTATGGGGCATTTACAGGGGCCTCACCATCCTCTCCCAGAAAGGCAAAATGGATGTGAAAATTAAAACAGATTCTGAACAGGCCATCAACCAACTTCAAGATGGCCCAAGCCATAACTCTCCTCATAAGGCCCTTATTGAAGATGCAAAGTTTCTATTGAAAAGATGCAATTGCTCTCTCAGTCACTCCTTTAAAGAGGGAAACAGTGTTGTAGATACGCTAGCAAACATGGGAGCGGCCCAGGATGAACATCTGGTAGCCTTAGAGGATCCACCAGAAGAAATGAGAACTCTGGTTATTGATGATACGACTGGAGTGAGTATTGTGAGGGACTAATCTTCTTGTGTTGTAATGCTACTTTAACTGCTGTTTGTTTTCCTATTTCAGTTGAATTATAAAAAAATAAAAATAAATGAAAAAATTCAGCATATAGCATCAATGTAGGAGTCTAAACTATTAACCCTGACTAGTGGCCATTGGCAATAGCATCAAATCAACACACTTTGAAAAGCTGTCAAACAAAAGGTATTTAGCAACAGAGAATAGGTCTAAAACAAAAGTTTCTTCAGCAAAAAGAATTCAGAATTTAGTTTGCCACAGCCAGAGTAGCCCTTACATAAAAGTCACCACCAAATCTAACAGGCAAGATGAAAAAAATAAAAAATAACTGTGGTCCAGAACCTAATGCAACAAACTTTTCCAGACTACATTTTGATCATGATTTGTGGAGGAATTTACCAAAGAACAGGAACATGACAGGGAAGCGATAGATAATTTTAGCATCTTCACTACATTATCTTTTTTTTCTTTTTTTCTTTTTTTCTTTTTTCATTTACCTTTTCCTTCCCCTGCATAAACTCTTCCACAAATTCATGATACAAACACAGTTTAAGAAACATCTCAACCAATGAGAATCCAAAACCTACTAATTCATGAACTACAGAAACTTTTCCTACAACTTGGGTCCTCTATGCAAACTCCTAAAGTAAGAGGAGACCCAATCAGGGTCAGAGCCCTGTGAATGAGAGGGATAACATGAAGCACTCAGGCTTCTCATGAACTTGCACATGAGTGAAATGAAAACTTTCTCAGGTAAGAAAAGGAAAAGAAAGAAGAAACAAACAAAAGGAAGCAGCAAGCCTATGGTATAAGTTCAGACGGCAAAGGGACCAGAGAGAAGTTTACAGGGACAACGGATTGGCAAATGGTTTCTGATTTGGGATAAGAGTACCCTGAAACTGATGATCTCTCAAACAACCACTGCAGTCTTTTTGCAAATGGGACAGTTATTCTTCTGCACGAGCCATTGTTTGATGCAATCGAAGTGAAACTCGTGCCCACAATTCAGCTTACCAAGCTCCTTTCCATCAACATAATCCTCCTGCAATTTGATTCAATAAATGGAAGCATATAGTTTAATAGGGAGCTTTTAACTTCAGAAAAAATAGAACCCATGAATCGGTAACTCCCGTCCTCCCAACTGCCAGAACTGGGTGTGGGGAGAGATGGTGAGTTGCATGGAGTTTGGTAATAAATACACTTAAAAATTATAGGGTGAACTACACTAATGATCCCTATAGTTTGGGTCTTATGTCACTTTGGTCCCTAACTTAACTTTTTAATTATGACATTTGATCTTGAATTTTAAATCTTGTTTCAAATAAAGACAGTATACCATTGTTCAATTTCAAGGACAGAGTCGTCAATTTGATAAAAATATAAACTAATTTGACAAAAATAAATGTTAAAAAAATATTTTTGAATTTTTAAAAATTATTTTTACTCACTAAAGATAAAATTATGTAAAATTGAAAATCTTTTAGACATTTTTTTTTTATCAAATTAATTTTTATTATGTGTTTAGATGATAATCATGTAATAGGTGATTGTTTTTATTTTCATTAAATTAGTTTCTATTTTTTCAAAAGTCAAATATGGTGACAATTTTGATATCATTATTAAACTAATCCATTAAACCAAATAATCCAAACTAAAAACATTTCATATATTAAATATATTGATTACATATTAAAAGCCTAACAACCACTCATTACATGATCATATCAAAACACACAATAAAAATTAATTTGGTAAAATAAACAAATAAATAAACGTCTAAAAGATTTATCAATTTTACATAATTTTATCTTTGGTGATTAAAAATTATTTTTAAGAATTCAAAAATATTTTTTTAACATTTATTTTTATTAAATTAGTTTATATTTTATCAAATTGATGACTTTGCCCTTAAAATTGAGTAATGGTATCTTCAATTATCATTATTTGGAACAATATTCAAAATTCATGGTCAAATGTGTCACAATTGAAAAGTCATGGATCAAAGTGACACAAGCCCCAAATTAATGGATTGTTAGTGCAATTCACCAAAAAGTATAATATTTGTGAGAAAAAAAAAATCTTCAAAAATTTCACTAAATACTAAAACACAAAACTATAAAAATTCAATACATTTTCGTATTATTGTATATTTATTGATTTTTTAAAATACTTTTTCACAAGTATTTTACTTTTTAGGTGCATCTAGAAAGTAAAAAATTTGCTGAAAATATTTAAAAAATTCACTTAAAAAAAAAAAAAAAAAAAAAAAAAAAAAAAAAAAAAACTCAATTCTTAGAAAATCAGTCAAAACCAAACAAGGTGATTAATTTTTTCAATTTTTCTTCTTCTTTTTAGATCCCTCTCGACTAGTCAGACATAAAAATAAATTTTTTTTTACACAAATCTAAAAAAAATCACTAAAGACAAAAAAAATTGGAATAAAATGTGACTTTTTTAGCCGATCCCAAATAGATAAGTTGCAAGACAAGGAATTGAAGTGTCCCTTACCTGACAAATACAGCATGGTTCCTCTTCCACCGGAGGTCCTAATTTCATTGACAGATAACAATGCCGCCTTACAGCTGCCAAAATAGCTTCCTCACTCAATCCAGTGCTCACATTTCCAATTTGATCCTCCAGGGCCAACAACTCCTAATCCAAAGTCATTCATTTATGAGCCAAACTTCAATAATGGGAAGGGCAAAAAAAAATAAAAGCCATGTAAATGATTATTTCAATTTATTAGTGTTACCTCATAAGACATATCGTCTACATCAAGACGCATATTTTCATGCACATCAGGCTCCTCATAAAACAAAGGTTCATGAACAATAATCCCATCCTGGCACACCACCATGAGTGCAAGTCGTAAAAAAATTACTGCTAACTAATAACTATATGGAGAACATGAACACGAAAACTCCAAGTTTCTGTCCATTTCCTAAAGCAAACACAAACTTGATAATCAAAGCATAAAATAAACCAAGCAAAAGATCTAACCTCAACCCAATGTAGGACTTGCAAGGCACGCCGAATCTGCTTATGGCAAAAACAAAGATATTTAGAGATTTGATTGGGTAAAGAGAAAAAATGTTAGAGGGGAAAAGCAAAACATTAAGAAAGAAGATGAAGATTAATTAATGTCTAATATCAATATCCATAGAAAACTTCAATAAATCAAATAAAAAAAGGTACAAGTAAATTTTCAGGTACCAGTGTAGCTCTCAATTGAGCAGCACCTAAAGGCTGTACGTGAGGCAGAATTGAAGGCATGACAGCATTATGTCCTTCATCTCTTATCATCAAAACTCCAGGCCTTGGTTGGGCTTGAAAAGCCCTTACATTACCAACTCCAGATTCAAGCCTGCCTCCTACTGAAGGGATTGGATGGTTAGTAGTTTGCCCTTCAGACACAGAGCTAGCCAATCTCACTGTAGAATGATTAACAATACTTGACAGCCTCTCCACATACTCTTCAGCCAAATTCCTATGAGGAAAACCGGAAGGAGTGGAAGATGGATGGATGCCAGCAGTAAAGCCATTCTGAAAACCTCTAGTAACATTATGCTGACGAAAGTGTGGAGGAGCAGATAGCTGGGTGCCAGAAAAGCCATTCTGAGAGCTAAGATTTCTGGGGGGGTTTCTCAAAGTTCCAGGAGCTAGCATACTCTGCACAGAAGTGCTTCTAGGAATGTATCGTGAGTTTTCTTCTACCCTCAATGCATCACTTCCCCTTGCCAGAATTACAGGAGAACTAGCAGAAGCACTGCTGGAGCTTGGACTAGTGATACCATTATAATAAGAAGGTTGCAAGGTTTGAAAGGTATTATTAACATGTGCAAGGGAAGACGTACTTGAGGATGGAAAACCTCGTTCATTTGCAGCAGTTACTCTCCTGCGTGTATTTCTCTCAAATATTTCTGCATTTCCTGCCAAACTTGAATTTGCCCCTACTTCCCGATGAATGTTCCCATCGCTGTCCTCGAATGCTACATTTAAGTCTAGCTTCTGAGGGATAGCATCAGAAATGGCACTTTGCAAAATTGATGGCCCATTTGGCTCTGAATGGCTTTCTCCCAACAACCTCTTACGGGTTCCAGTCCTAGCATCTGGAGAAGGCAATTGTTCATGTTCCCCATTTGATAGAGCAACCTGATTATGGGAAATCACACTAGAGCTAGATGGACCTGTCCAACTAATAGAAGTATGATTATCATGACTAGAAGCATTCATTGAATCCACATTTTGTGGAAACAACCCAAGATTGTTAACATTGGACCCATGGCTGAAGGAAGAGATCCCAGGAGAGAAACTGGAAGTGCTCCTTCGACGTTGCATCAGGGCTACTATATTTTCCTAAGTTTATAGAACTAGGTTTTCACGTTCGAAACTTCTCTGTAGACCTGAAATCATACAAGTGAATTATGAGTTCATATCATTTAATATTAAAAAAACTTCATGCAACAAACAAGATCTACATACGTGAAACACAAATAAAGAAGAGAGAGAGTTCTATCACAAATGTGAAAAATATTATACTTAAATACTAATAGTGTGTTTGGTTTGAGTTTTCTGAATTGAGTTTTCTGAATTAAGTTTTTTGAAAACTGACTTTTTTGATTTTTGTGTTTTTTTGTTAGTAAATATTTTTTAAATTTTAAACATTTTTTTTACTTTTTTAAATGCACCTTACTTAGATGTATCTAAAAAGTAAAAAATTTGTGAAAAAATATTTTAAAAAATTAATAAATACATAAAAATACAAAAAATGTACTGAATTCTTGTATTTTTTTTGTATTTTTGGTATTTAGTGAATTTTTAAAAGATTTTTTTTACAATTTTTTTACTTTTTAGGTGTATTTATGTTAGGTGTGTCTAAAAAGTAAAAAAATTGCTTAAAATATTAAAAAAATTCTGTAAAAACAAAAAAACACGGAAAATAAGAAAGTAGAATTTTCTAAAAAGTGTTTTTTGAAAAGTGGAAACAAGCAAATTAGGATCAAAGGGAAAAAACCTTTAACAGATTGGAGTTAAGATCTCTCAGTTAATGGAGATTATAAACTGAATGTCAAATTCATATAAATGGAAGGCATAATGAAGAAGAAAGGAACACCACGTGAGAGATTTATTAAAAATTTGTAATTTTATGAAAAAGGCATAAGGACTATGAATCAAAAATTTACGTGACAGCATGATCAAAAAAATTTACTCCGCTCCTTTCACCCAAACCCATACATAGCAATGTAATCTGAAATAAACAATGCAATCTAAAAATCTACTTATGAATTTTCTCAATAAGCTTGTAGTGGTAGGGAGGACTTCTCCAAATTAAATAAGAAAAAGATTAGAGGAAAGAAAAAAAGGGTAGAAACAGAAGAAGAAAAATACTGACAGAAGTGCATGCTTTCACTCAATACAGGCAATGCAGTCTAGAAATCTACTTGTGAGTTTTGTCAATCAACTCATAGCAATAGAGTGTAAATCAACAACAACAACAACAAAAATCACCATAAGTTCAATTTAAAAAGCTTTGGAAAGAAGCAGCAAAAGAAGTACCAACCACAAGATTACATGCACGCGCAAAACAGTCCCAAAAATAGCTGTGTGTCTATCTCCTTAGAGTTGGAAATTAAATGAATGTCACTCTTACACATTCCCCCAGCCAACTCCCCTGCCCACTTCGTCATCAGGGTGGGGGAAACCTGAACAGAGCAGGGCAGGGGATGCGGGGGCGAAGTGGGGTGGGTGGAAATTGCCATCCCTGCGGCCAAGGGCCATTGGAATATGAGAGCAATAGATCAACAAGATCATCACAATCGCCTCGGCAGTTCGAAACATGCAGAGCCCCTAAACACTGCACATGAATGACACAACTGTATGGATACATGAATGGATGCTAAATCATCAAACCAATTATATACATATGATTTTCGAATACACATCCATGATAAAGATTGAGTAAGCATCTCCAATCCCACCTTTTCTTTCATCAAATTTAAATTTGATGAAAAAGTGCTCAAAAATCATCCCCAATCCTTTCATCCAATGTTCAACAAATCTGGGGAAAGCCATTTTTTTTCATCAAATTAAGAACTCATCAAATTTGATGAAAATAGAAATTTGGGAAAACAGGGGAATTTTAAAAAATATTTTGATGAAAGGATTGGAGTAGTTCATATCCAATGAAGCTTTTTACTCAAATTTGTAATCAGATTAGATGAAAAATTTGGTGAATGATTGGAAATGCTCTCAAGGGGGGGAAATGGGGGGCAGAAAAAAAAAAGAAAAAAAAAAGTAGTACTGTGAATTCAGTAGAGGAAGAAGGTGAGGAAGAAAATTTTACAGAATATAAATATAGATAGTCCCACAGACAAAATGATGGTTGGTAAAAAAATGGTACCCAAAAAAAAAAAAATCAGATATTAAAATTGCTTGTCCATGACCACTGCTGTTAGATAGATACCAACACAACACACAAACCCACCAAGCAAAAAAAAGAGGCAGATTAAAACAAATGGGTTAAACGAAACATCGAATCCCAGAAAAATTAGGAACAATCAATACAGATCAAGCAAAAACCCTTGATTATCAACCAACAATCTCACGTAATAACGTATATAGATTCAAACAAATGGATTGAAAACAAGGATCACTAAAAAAATACACATAAACCCTCGATTACTAACAAAAAAATCACACAGGAATTCCAGATATAAAGAGATGGGTAGCAAAGATTATACCAGAAGCAAGCAATCGGATCAACACGATCGATGAAAGACGAGAGCGGAAGTCAAAGAACAACACATGTAACCGCTGTTTCTCTCTCTAGGCTTCGAAGGGGCGGAGTAGAGAAAAGAAGAGAGAGAGAGAATGGGTTTTTGAGAAGGGAAAGTGAGGAAGGGGGGGTTGATATAGTGGGGGGTTGGGTTTGGGGTGGTGTTGTAATCTGAAGGTGGAGAACAATAATCCAAAGAGGGGATAAAAACCATAATTACTCTTCCAAAACAGACAATCCCAGCCAATTGTCATGTAATCCAGAGAGAGCATCCTCGTGGCTACTTCAATTCTCTCTCTCTCTCTCTTCCAGCTTTCGTAGTTATTTTCTTTCTTTCTCCGACTTTCGTCTTCCTTCCTTTGTGCCCACCTCTGGCACTGTTTCAAAATTACTATAATATACACTTATTCACCTTCTATATCCATTAACCCTAAATATTAATCTATTACTACTACTATTAAAAAAATGATTAATTTAGTTGAAGATTTATATAATAATATAAATAATTTGGATTTTTCTATAGTATGATCTTGTAATTTTTTTAAGGGAAATAATATTTATGATGGAATCTACAATTTTCTTGCAACATGTAATACATGTATTATAAAAAAAAAGTTTAATGCACCTTATGAATTCCCATGATTTTAGTTCCATGATTATTGACAAGAATAAGGGTCTAATTGATACAAAATCTTAATTTATTTCATTGTTTTGAAAATAATGATAATAAAAAATTCAAAAACACTCATTTCTTACTTTTTTGCCTGAATTTTTTTTAAGACAATTTTTATATTTTCCTAAAATAAGTCTATTGTTTTATTAAGTGAGTTAAGGTTGTCATTGTAGTTGTTTCTATTACTTTAAGGTGGAATATTGCGAACATAATTATTTTAACATTATTTTTAGTTATCGTTTATATCTTTTTATATTAATGCATCGTTTTCTTTTTTTTTATTTCTTTTTATATCAATTTTCATGCTAATAATATGATTGTTGAAATGGTTATTTTAGATTTTAACCGATAATTATTATATTTTTAGTTTGCGTATTGTGTAATAATGTAAGATGGATAAAATGACAGTTAATTTTATAAATACGGTGTTTAATGTTATCGGTTTGTGATCACACCATTATTAGATTTGTTGATATTGTCATTAATGAGTCATTTCATACCGTTATTTCAGTTACTTTGACATTATCATTATTGAACTTCACAAAAATGTTAGAGATGTCAAAAATTTTACTAAAAATTCTACCAAATGTCTTACACGGGTGTGGGACGCACAAGAGACTCACATTGTGTAGGTCTCACACCTATATGAGATATTTGGTAGAAATTTTAATAGAATTTTTGAAATTTCTACCATTATTCTTGAACTTCATGCTTAAGTTACTTATATTATTTATGTTGGTCGATATGTAATTTTCAAACCTCTTTCTTCATTTTTGGTTGGTTATACATTCATACATGACACTTTCCATTATTTTAGTTAAAGTAATTAATTATTTTATAAAAATAAATAAATAAATAACTTAAAAGGTTTTAATATCATGTTTTGTGATTGATAAATGTAACAAATAACATCAAATTAACTTAATGAAAAAAAAAGATGCAATAAGTAGTTTGGCAATACAATGGAATAAGAGAAATTAAAAATCAACAAATTATTTTCATATATTTATAAGAATTTTTGTTAACATGTGTCTTTAGATATATGTTATGAAATTTTGAAAAATTATACATTCAGTATGAAAGCAAGTGCAAAAGATTGCACAATTTTTTAAAACATTTTTAATATGTGTCTTAACGTCACATGTTAATAAAAATTTGATTGTAAAGAAAATTGTAGTCAAATTTTTTATTATACAACAGTATAATGCACAAACTAGGGCATTAACATTATGTTATACCAAATTATTAACATAAGTTGAACAGATTCAAATAAAATTGGGACTCTTTTATTTGAGAAATAAATAAATAAATCATAATTTAGGTTCAAAATGAAGGAAGGGTTAAAGAGGAAAAACAATAGGACATTATTCTTAAAAGTTATGTTGTTGCTTCAAAGTTTTTTAATTGTTTTTTTCCATGGCCCCTCTCAAAGATGCCTTGAAATTTTGGGTAGGTAAAAATAAATCTTTCAACATTAATGATTCCAAAAAAAAAAAAAAAAAAATTGAGCCTATAATATTTTAAAAAAAAAAGGTCAAAAAAAAAAACTTGCCTTAATTTTAAATCCTTATTATGACTTTACTAAAAAATAGAAACCATAATCCTAATCCTTATTATAACTTTATAGATTCATGCAATATATCTTACCTGTGTGTCGAATTAGGTATGGACTCATAAAAAGAAAAAAAAAATTGTTTAATTTTATCGCATTTAATTGAAATTACTAAATATAATTCAATTTGATATTTTATTTTAAAATGAAAAGTTCATAATAAACTCATCATTATATATAAATTTTTTATTTATATAACATTACTCCACTAAAATACAAACAATGAAGATGGCAATTGAAAATTGAGTTTTGGTTGTTCAAACAACTCCTTAATTGGAGGGTCAATTAGACCTCATGGAAGGGAGATGGGGTTACCGTTGTACTAAAGACATAGCAGTGATTGTTGTGTCTCAATTTGAGGTGTATTATGGACTTATTTTTATAATCTGAATCTTTCATTTTGTAAGGTTTGCTAAGTATTTCATATCTGTCAAAAATCTTATTAATCGGATATCAATAAAAAATTTGATAAATCTTATGAGGTCTCTAACATTACTCTTAACTATATAGGGTGGCAATTTTTCATGAGTTACGTTAGAGATCTCAAATAATGTACTCAATTCTTTATCAAACCTCGTGTGGAATCCATATATATGAGAGTTTGGTAAAAAATTTTGTAAATTATTTGAGGTTCATAGTATTTTTTATTCTGTATATACTCTGTCTTGCATTTCTCGCTCTGTCTTGCACGGATTTTGTTGCTGCCGATGAAAAAGTATGAGGGGAGACATTTTCTTTTTAGTCCCATTCTACCAAGAAATTATTGGGTACGAATAGGGTACCACGTGGCAATACTACTTAGTTCCTTCCTTTATTCTCATTAGTTTAGATTGTAGGACCTGTTATATTTATGTTAGGTACTTGGAGAACATGAGGGGAGCTATATAATTTATGATTGGTTAGAAGGTACCAATTGACATGAGCAAGAATCTTTTAGAGTTTTTTTTTCCTAAAGTTTCCTACAGTGGTGCATTGTGTGATTGAGATTTAATGACAAGTCATATCAATTTTTCAGCATTAAATCTCAACCACACAATACACCACTTTAGAAAACTTTAGGGAAAAAACACTCTAAAGGATCCTTGGTGAATTGACATGCCACTTGGTACCCTATTGATACCCAATAATTTTTCCATTCTACCCTACTTTCGCTCCAATTACTACTAATGTTGTTTATTAATCTATTACTACTACTATTAAAAAAATGATTAATTTAACTGCAGATTTATATAAAAATATAAATAATTTGGATTTTTCCATAGTACGATCTTGAATTTTTTTTTTAAGGAAAATAATATTTACGATGGAATCTACAATTTTCTTGCAACATGTAATACATGTATTAAAAAAAAAAAAAAGTTTAATGCACCTTATGAATTCCCATGATTTTATTTTAGTTCCATGATTATTGACAAGAATAAGGTCTAATTGATACAAAATTTTAATTTATTTCATTGTTTTGAAAATAATGATAATAAAAAATTCAAAAACAATCATTTCTTACTTTTTTGCGTGAATTTTTTTATGACAATTTTTATATTTTCCTAAAATAAGTCTATTGTTTTATTATTAACACTTTACTCATATTTTGTTTTTTTTAATCCTTTTTTTAAGTGAGTTAAGGTTGTTATTGTAGTTGTTTCGATTACTTTAAGGTGGAATATTGCGAACATAATTATTTTAACATTATTTTTAGTTAATGTTTATATCTTTTTATAGTAATGTATGGTTTTTATTTATTTCTTTCTTTTTATATCAATTTTCATGCTAATAATATGATTGTTGAAATGGTTATTTTAGATTTTAACCGATAATTATTATATTTTTAGTTTGCGCATTGTGTAATAGTAAGATAGATAAAATGACAATTAATTGTTATTTTAGTTTTATAAATACGGCGTTTAATGTTATCGGTTTGTGATCATACCATTATTAGGTTTGTTGATATTATTATTAATGAGTCCTTTCATACCGTTATTTAAGTTGGTCAATATGTAATTTTCAAACCTCTTTCTTCATTTTTGGTTCGTCATACATTCATACATGACACTTTCCATCATTTTAGTTAAAGTAATTAATTATTTTATAAAAATAAATAAATAAATAACTTAAAAGGTTTTAATATCATGCTTTGTGATTGATAAATGTAACACATAACATCAAATTAACTTAATGAAAAAAAAAATGCAATAGGTAGTTTGGCAATACCATGGAATAAGAGAAATTAAAAATCAACAAATTATTTTCATATAATTATAAGAATTTTTGTTAACATGTGTCTTTAGATATATGTTATAAGATTTAGAAAAATTGTACATTCAGTATGAAAGTAAGTGCAAAAGATTGTACAATTTTTTTAAACATTCTTAATATGTGTCTTAACGTCACATGTTAACAAAAGTCTGATTATAAATAAATTTGTAGTCAAAATCTTTATTATGCAACATTATAATGTGCAAACTAGGGTATTAACATTATGATATACCAAACTATTAACATAAGTCGAACACATTCAAATAAAATTGGGACTCTTTTATTTGAGAAATAAATAAATAAAACATAATTTAGGTTCAAAATAAAGGAAGGGTCAAAGAGGAAAAACAATAGGACATTATTCTTAATGTTATGGCTAAAATAGCCTATTTTGTTTTTTGTGGCTAAAATAGCCAAAAAAGCCTGAAAAAGCCCTTGCCAAACACAGGCTTAATATGTGTCTTAACGTCACGTGTTAACAAAAGTCTGATTATAAATAAATTTGTAGTCAAAATCTTTATTATGCAACAGTATAATGTGCAAACTAGGGTATTAACATTATGATATACCAAACTATTAACATAAGTCGAACACATTCAAATAAAATTGGGACTCTTTTATTTGAGAAATAAATAAATAAAACATAATTTAGGTTCAAAATAAAGGAAGGGTCAAAGAGGAAAAACAATAGGACATTATTCTTAAAAGTTCTTTGTGCTTCAAAGTTTTTTAATTGATTGAAATTTTGGGTAGGTAAAAATAAATCTTTTAACCATAATGAATCCAAAAAAAAAAATAAAAGGAAAAAAACAGAACCTGCCTTAATTTTAAAT